CAGAAATAGCGTTTACTAAAACGAAGGCAATAACAAAAGCATACGAGTGACATGCGCCGTGAGAGAGACAAGCAGGAAGCGAGCGAGAGAGAGACTTATGATCGAGCAGGCACTTACACGTCGGCTTCGCAGTAGCCTCGGACTTGCTTCTGATGCACGCGGGTATTCAGCCACCTCAGGCAGCTCCCTCGGCCTGATGAACGGTTGTCAGCACACACGCACGCACACACAGTCCGCAGAATGCACTTGGTGCCTCGGTCTTTCACTCAATTGCGCACACTTTGCACTCTCAGTCCTTATCGACGAAAAACACTGGCTACGCAGCACAGGGCACCTACCGGTCGCGCGATGACGGCCAGGCTTGCGTTCTTCGCGAAGGCGGGCAGCTAATTGTATCTCGCACGCGGAAGAGGTCCCCCTCTCTCTCGTTGGCTATTCGGCTGCGGCGCGTCTCAGCCAATTAGGCAAACGCGTGCGACATTCGTGCGTGGACGCACTCACGCATACACGCGGTTCTCTTTCTCTGCTCGGCGCTCTCTCACTTACCTCGTGCAGCATCAGCAGTTGCGGCTACAAGAAAAAGGCATAAGAAAAATACATAAGTTATCAATAAGTTATAATTGGCTTAAGGGAAGAGAGAGACATAACGAGACTCGACTCGTTATAATCTTGATCAATTAATAATATAAAATAAAAAGTTACGTTGCATGCTCGCTTTTATCTACAGTTATACACTTTGTGTGTTGTGCTCACTACATATATACATTAAATGTTTAAACATTGCGGCATTGCCACGTCTTTTGTAGTCCATAAAAATTACCAAAAAAAGTGAATCAAGTTGATACTTTTTTATAATTATTTTAATTAAATAAATGTTCATAATCACGAAAATAGTTAGGATAATTTAAAATAGGAATTCTAATAGTAATTTAATATGATAAAATAAAAAAAAATTTACTTCTGTTGACTTACAAGTATTGAGTGAACATCCTTAAGTGAACAAAATAAGTTTTACAGTTAGAACTACATGAACAAAAGACGTGATTGTGGATATTCTAGTAAAACTAGAAGTAATTTCTGAAGCAATTTTATGCGAAAAATTAGAATCAATCCTCAGAATTTAGTCATCACATCACGCTTTCGAGATATCGTAACGTAAACGTGCTAAAGCCTATAGGCTAGATTTTTACCTATATTCAGTTATGTAACATCATGAATGAATTTTATTTCCACAAACGGATCATACACCATAAAATAGTACTCCTACCCTTCAAAATCCAGTTTACAGATTAGGAATATATTTTTCGTCATCGAGACGACCGGAGATTCCCCGTGAGGTTAATCAGTGGCTACGCGAGTGAAGTTGATCAGGGGTATTCAGGGGTAAATGAGTGAAAATGAGGGAGTGTTTAGGGGTATACGAGTGGGGTTAATCGGGGGATGAGGTTGATCAGAGGGTATGCGAGTGAGATTGATCAGAGGGTGAGGTTGATCACGGGGAATGTGAGTGGGATTGATCAGGAACTGAAGTTGATCATGTAGTATGCGAGTGGGGCTAATCAAGGGTTAAATCAGGAAGTTGATTAGGGGATATGCATATAGAGTGAATCACTGGGTGTTTAGGAGTTATACCGAAACGCTCTAGGTTTATTCGTATTATTTTTCACACGATAGATCGTTTTTTTAATTTTTTTATAATTTGTTTATGAATTTGGACCGTAAAAATTTATACTCTAAATATAGTTTCACCTCCGTACAACGTAGGGCTGACAACCTCCAGTGAGAAAACTTGTATGGTTACGTTTCTCTTTTATATAGATTTTTTCAATATTTTTTTTTCGAAAAATAGTCATAAATACTGAAGATATGCTGTAATATGGTTTTGGGGGTGACCTTTGAGAGTGGTTTCCAGACCCTAAATTCTTTTTCTAGCACAACAACATTATCATTCTCTCATAAATTTTTAACCGTCATAGCAAATGAAAAATCAGCGAAATTGGTGATCGGCAACTATTTATATAGTATTAATAGGGTTTAGGGGTAGTTCACCCTCGATATAGATAAAAATAAAAAAACGCTGAAACACGTCAATTTTATTTCATTATTTTCTAGATGAAAATTTATTTTTCAATTTTTTTGTGATAATTTTGTGATTCTGTACACGAAAAATCCACTCAAAATGTAGTTTTTCTCGTGTACATCGTAGGGGTTGGAACCCTCCAAGTCTAAAACTATGCGATTTTGTTGTTTTTTAAATAAAAAATGTTATTAATTTTGTTTCATCAAAAAAGATTCATTATAACCAAAGTTACTGCTGTTTAACTGTTTTTAGGGGTGACATTTGAGGGTTGTTTTCAACCTCTAGACAGCTTTTTACGCCGATAACAAAAATATGTGTCTCTTATTTTTTATAAAGTATAACATATTTCAATTGCAACAAAATTAAAGGCGGACGGTTGGAAATGTTCCCTTGTTAGAAAAATGTGGATTTTCAAAAAAAGTTCTTCAAATACCTGTTAGCACGAGCTCAATAGAACGACTAAATTTGAGAACATAAAATCCTTTTTCTAAGAATAAAAAAGACCTCAGTCTAGAATTAGATAAAATTATTATTCATGTAATATTCAAGTTTTACAATTATTTATCTAATCATACTAACAACACTAATTTTATTTATAACGAGTGTCTCATTTTCACTTACAAAGAAAGATATCTGAAAAATTGTGAGAGCTAGCGAAAAATGTTTCAAATATAAGTTACTCGCTTTTGAGGTAGTCATAATTATGATTTTGACATTGAGGGTCTTTTTTAAGGTCATTTGAAGGTCAACTTTGTTTTTCTAAATAGGAATCTCCATTTTTAATACCGGATTTACAAAGATCGGGTAATTTTACGTTGAGTTACATAGAATCCTAGGATATGGAAGACCCTCCGAAGCCCCCCCCCATGATCACATAAACTTCAATGCAATTTTTTTTCATCATTCCACCTAACTAACCTAAGAACGGTAAAGTTTTCTAAAAAATGTTACAAATAAAAGTTATTGCACTTAAAGGAGGCATCTTGACTTTAAGGGTCATTTTCATGGTCATTTGTAGGTCAACCTCGTGTTTCTTGGAGTAGCCTATTTTTTTTTATCAAGGATTCGGAAATAACAAAGAATTGTACGTTTACAAAACATATCCCATGTATTGTGTAGTAACCTCTCAAGGTCATATGTAGTTTTACCTTTTTTTTTATAGGAACCGCTATTCTTGAGCTCGGATTCGGAAAGTAGGCAAAGTTGTACGTTCTGTTAACGTTAAGGTGTAATGTGCATTCTATTCTTCATGCTCATTTAAAGGTCAAAAAAAATTTTTCAATAAAACCGTCAATTTTCGCTTCACATTATAACGTAGTGACAAATTTAATGTTAAGATGAATAATAATCAATAATAAGCATTTTTTCAATGATTCTTGAAGAAGTTGCTGGCATTGCTGAGTGATAAGTCAACGTCTTTAGAGTCTTGATATTTAATAGGCATATTATTGGTTCCCATTTTTTTAATGGCAATTTCAACGGCCAAGCCTATCTTGATTTGCTAGAAAGTAATCTACCCGGAAACTAAGAGGACAGTTCATGAATGTTCGAGAGTATATGTGGCTACAATAAGATACTACTCCAGCTCATTTTGCTATAAATAGAGTAGTTTTGAATGCTCAATTTCTTGACTATTTGATAGGTCGTAGTGGTCCAATTCCGTGACCACCTAGGTCTTCTGATCTCAATCTATTGGATAGCTATTTATGGGGGTAGTATAATGATGGACAGAATTAGAAAAGCTTGTACAGCAGTCACACCAAAAATACTTACAGAATTTCTAAATAATTATCGTCGTCTTTTGAAAACACGCTTAGCGAACAATGGAAGACCTATTGAACATCTCATGTAATTGTGCGAACTATCCATCATTAACACATTGCCAGAACATTCATATTGTAATTATTAAGTTACTTGTCATAAGATTAACTATTACTTCTAATTATTATTAGTATTTACTGATAATTTTTTGTTAAACTGCGTATACAATGAAAAGTTGATTAAATTTAACGTGTTCTAATATTTCCGCTTACTTTCATTTCTCTTACCAAAACGAGAAACTGTTTTGAGTGAAGTAATTTGTCATTATTTTGATATTTTAAATGGCCTTTGAAAGTTTAATTAATCTTTTACATAAAAGCTTGACAACTTTCCTTACTTTCCGAATCCGAGTTCAAGAATAGCGGTTCCTATGGAAACAAAATTAAACTTTTCACGTGACTTTGAGGGATCACTACATTTGATATGTTTCCTGAACGTGGAATTCTTTGTTGTTTCTGAATCCATAATAAAAAAATAGGCTACTCGAGAAGAACAAGGTTGACCTTCAAATGACCTTGAAAATGACCCTCAAACTCAAAGTTAAGGTCACCGCAAGATTCCCCTTATAATAATGACTTTTATCTATAACAATTTTATCAAAACCTTACCGTTCTTAGGTCCCTTAGGTGGAAAGGTTAAAAAAAATAACATTGAAGTTTATGTAATCACGGGGGTGGCCTTGGGGGGTCTCCCGGATCCTACGTATAATAGATCATCTAAACGTAGAGTTTCCCGCTCTTTCTGAATTTGGTGTCAAAAATGGAGATTCCTATTTAAAAAAACAAAGTTAATCTTTAAATGACCTTGAAAATAACTGTCACGGTCAATGTAAAGTCATCATAATTATAACCCCTCAGAGACGAGTAACTTTTATTTGAAACGTTTTATGCCAGCTCTCAATTTTTTTGAGATATTTTGGTGTGTATGTTAAAATAGGACACGCTATATAATATTTTTTGCGTAGCGCGGTTTTTATTAAAATATATAGAAAAAGTCACATGAAATCTTTAGAGCTATATAAACGTCTGTGAATATATTTTGTATTTTATTAGCAAATAATACTAATTATAATTACTACAAGTTATTAATGTATTTCCAGTATCAACAGCTGGTCTAATAAAGATCAGACTAATCAGAAAGCAGTAGAACAAAATAATAGTATTTTATCTAGTATTGATGATTTTTATGGGACTAATACTGAATTATCTGAAACAAGATGTAAGTTTACTCAATTATATTTTGTATTCAATGAATATCATAAAATAAAATCGTAAACTCTGTCGATACATTTTTCAATTAAATTTGGTATATATGTAGATTGCAGAATTTCTACAGGGAATGTTTTCCAATTAAGTTCTCAGCTGCTGTAACAGGTTATAGATTTTTCCTTGTTATTGTCTGATCTCAAAGATAGCATTAGGTGTGTGTTAAATACATGAAATTAGGATTGCAATCAACCATGTACACTTTATTAATTACAAGTATGGTAGAGAGAATGAGTATATAACTAATGTATGTGTATATAACTAATGTCGAAGCTTGACTTGTGTGTTTACGCGAGGACTATCTGGACTCTAATCCATATAGTGACGCTAAAGCTTTTTTAATTGTTCTCATAGAAGTACATTGGCACGCCGAACATGTAAAAACTGATGAATATTCTTCAAGCCATGAAAACGTAGCGAGCACGATACAAATAGAAAACAAATTCAAGTAACCCTCACGAGCCATACTCATATTACTGCACATAATAATAACAGGTATTTGATTATTTTATCGTTCACTGCATATATAGTGTGTCCTATTTTAACAGAAAAAATCGATACAATTGAGAGAAACAAACAAATTGACAACAAAAGTGACAGACGACCAACTAGTAACTACTATGACACAGTCCATGAGATCCTCAACAAATAACAGAAAAAACACAGGAATGATGTGGGGAGGCAATTCTCGTTAAACCTATAGACGAAAAGATTTACGTGGACACACTAAGATAAATTAAAACGATGAAAATTGACAAAAGCAACTTTAGTAAACTTTGAGTGTGGAATACGGATGATTTCCCCAATAATCCCCCTCCCAAGTCATTTCAAGATCAATAGTGCGTTTTCAATTGGAATCCACATCTTTGACTGGAGATTCAAATTCTGCATAAAATTCTATATTCAGATGATATTTCGTAAATGAATGATGAATCTCTTGTATCTTTATTTTCATACTTTCTACCATATTTTAGGCTGTTTCTTGGTTTGCACTAGTTTAAGAGCATCTACGGGTCTCGATGACCTGTGAACTCATATAGTTAAAACTGTCCCTCAGCTAATTAATTTCAATGCTTAAGCCTGCTCACCTTCTGCAAGGTCTTACAGTCTCTAGGGAAGGGTTCGTATGTTAAAGAGCCAGCCACTTGAGGCAAGATCCTGTAGAGATTCAGCAAGTTAACTCATTTGTTTTTGTAGAAATTGATTAATTGTGAATCAGATGTTCAAAGTGTCCACTATTATTTTCTAAACACAATTGCAATCAGCGGAGAAAATTATTCTGCACGTTCCTAAGTATTCGAGGAGTTATTGCTTGGCACGCTGTTGTAATCCTATCTTTTATGTTCTCTGGTGCTGTTGGAGGTTGTCTAAAAACGGCATCTTTTACGTATCTTCACAAAAAAAATCAAGTGGGCTCAAATCTGGCGACCTAGAAGGCCACACCATTGATCCACCTCGCCCTATCCATCGATTAGGAAATAGCTGATTTAACAACGTTCGTACAATACGAGCATATTGAGCAGGAGCGTCATCTTGTTGAAACAATAAATTCTGTCTAACTACAAACGGAATGTCTTCTGGGTATTCCGGCAAATTTTTCTGAAGAAATTTTAAATACATTGCACTGTTAATAGTCCGTTCAAAGAAATCTGACATAATTACTTGACCATTACATATGCCAACCTATACATGTAAGGGCCTAAAAATGTGGATTGAGCACCAGGTGATACTAATGTGGATTTTCTGGTGACCAATAATGGTTATTGTGTCAAGAGCCCATCTATAAAATGGAATCCCAAGTATATGATCTTCTGGACTTAATTCCTGTACCAGAGTAATGTGATAAGAATGGTATCTTACAGATCGCAATAATCTTTGAGCTTTAGCTCGCGGAATTCCAGTTTCTAGTTCAATTTGACGCAAATTAACGTGAGGGTTCCAGTGAAACAAAGCCAAAATTGTAAGTAATCTAAGAATTTGGAGTCTATTCCTTTGTCTTTGGCGATGCAGTGGATTATTTTTGGATCTTCTGTCAATGTTTGATACTGTTTTTGTTTTATGTTTTTACACAATTTATGCAAAATCAAAAAATTGCATTGAAAAAATTCCCTTGTATACCTTAGCTTATTTAAAAAATGCTCAGTTTGAATTTCAAAAAAAAAAAAATTTCCTATTATTTAAACAACAGTTGCAGTTAGATAGTTAGAAGAAATTTTCCTAAAAGCAAATCCTCATGGTAGCCTAGTTCAGTAGAAATCAAGAAACAGCCTAAAATATGATAGAAAATGTAAAAATAAGGATACCAGAGATTTATCATACATTTACAAATGATCATCTGAATGTAGAATTTTATGCAAAATTTGAATCTCCAGTCCAAGATACAAGTTCCAATTAAAAACGCTACACTGACCTTCAAATGACCTAGGAGCAGGGGTATCGGGGATATCGATCCGTACCCCACACATGTAGTTTTAACTAAACATAGATTTTGACAAAGAACCCAAATTCATGATAAAAAATAGAGGTTTACATTGAAAAAACAACATTGACCTGGAGATAACCTTTGGGGGGGGGGGGCAATAGGGGGTTGGGTGGCCTCAGAACTCCACACATATTATATGATCTAAACGTACAATTTCACGAGGAATCCGAATCCGACGTCAAAAATGGGGGTCCCTATTCAAAAACAACATGGACCTTAAAATGACCTTGACGGGTCGCGTTCAACCTCAAATCCAAGTTCATCAACAAATGGCACTCTCGATCCTGAATAACTTTCATATGAATCATTTTTTAGCTTTCCGGGCTTGTTTCCGAGATATTCACCTGTGAAAGTTAAAATGGGACACCCTGCATAACCATTGAAATTTATTAATGAGTTATCAGTGTAATTATAAACTAAAACGAAGGCATATAACAGTGTCAGCTGTTTACAGTTTTCCAAACAAAACAATAATAAAAAAAAAGTGGATAGACAATTTCCACTCTCTAGGAAATCGTTTCATAATAGAAGGCGATTATAATGCGAATCATCCGTAATGAGGATTAAGATAGCCCACTGCAGCTCTTAGAGATCAGACTTTATCAAATAATATATATAAATAACTGAATATCAATATTTGCTGGAGAACCAACATACCGACGAGGAGATATATAAATAAATTGCTAGATTTGATATACTTCGCAGTCGTTAAGGGTTGTAATGCTATGTATTACAAGGTTTTGCTGAAGAGTATTGCACTACTTGTAGCATCTCGGGAGAGACATTCCCGTCCATTGCCGCCCCGTAACCAGCCGAATAATTACCATCGCCCCAACGAAAACACTCTTTTGTTTTCAAATTTACCCACCCGCGCCCGAGAAAACGACCCAACAAGTTAGTGAGCGCTATCCGAAGGAAGGCGCATCATGAAGAAAGCAGCCGACACAAAAGACGGAAAAAAGAAGCGCACAATGAAGAAATTGGAGAGCATGCACACATACACGCCCGACCACGTGTTGCCGATAGAAAGAAAAACGTAGAAAAACAAGGAGAAAAACGCAACGAAGATGCATGTAAATGAAACCATGGGCGTGTTACACACTTGGATATCACCGAAAACACTCCGAGGAAGCTAATACACTTGGGACGATCACAAAATCCAATCGGTAGCCGGCAATCACATGTACCAAGAATCAACGGTATCCTGCTGTTGAATGCCACGGATACTGCTGCTCACTAATAGCTACACCCGGAAAACACTCACACACACATACAACTGATAGGAAGCGCTCTAGGAGATGCTCCAGAGACTGGTAGCAAAACACGAGATGTACACACGAAAGCGGCAGTGGCAATTTTGAGTTGCCGAGACGGACTGAGCGAAAATAAGCGAGACGGAATAAACAAAAGCGAGCGAGACAAACTAAACGAAAGAGAGTGAGACAGACTAAACAAGAGTGAGTAAGACCGATTATTAGTAAGATATGATGGAATTCTAAAATCGAGGAGAATTGAAAATGGTGCTGTAAACTGACTATGCACAGTATATTGTACCTTAACGACATATATGACTCACACATTGGACCGAGGCTAACAAATATGCGGGAGGTAGATTTAAAATTGAAATAGATCGAAACAGAGAAACAGAAATAGACAAAAATTGATAAAAAAATTAATTGTAATGGTACTGTTATATTATTATTTATTAATTGTAATAAATAATAAAATAATAGCGAATAAAAATGGGTAAGTAAAGGATCATGTACCCAAGAAATTATGATGAATTGTACTGTGACGAGAGCGGGCGTTGTGCTTGTTCTCATCAGTATTGTTTCCCATTCCCCCCTCTCTCGTTAAGGCATGGTAGCCAGTGTTAGGCGCATTTAGAATACACCTAATGCATGGTCTTTGCTTGCAGCCGACGGAGATCGCTGAGCAAGACCGAACCGGCCCGACACCGTAAGAGGAGGACTATAGAAGGTGTTAAAAAGAGAGAGAGAGAGAGAGAGAGAGAGAGGAGCGCGCGTGCCCCATGCAGGTTTAGGCAGGCGCGCGACGCGTAACCAATCAGCGCTTGAGTCGCGCGCCGCCTAATGAGTAGGCCAAACGAGGAAGAAAAAAGAGAAAATGTAAGATCGCTGCGGATTGCGGTCAACCGCACAGTAGGAGTTCGACAGCTAAGAGAGCAGAGCAACAGCCTACGAGTGCAATAGAAGATAGACATGAGGAAAGACAAAGAGAGAGTGAGCAATTAAGAGAGTTTTTCGCCATCACCTCGGCCAGGAGGAAGCTGTTGGCTACCCATCCGAGGGACAACCACCCACACGGCAGCCAGGTTTCATCGGCGTTTGGCCTACCGTAATCAAAGTTAAGGACCCCTTTTAGTATTTTTTCTCTCTCTTAGGCGGTATGGTACAGATGCGAAATTGAGGAAAGTGACAAAGTGTTCGCGCGCCGGTCACTTTTAGTCG